GTCGAAGAACCTAAACCTAACCAAGTAGTTTTGGTTCCTAAACCTAACTCGAAGTTTATTTTTGAAAAGACATTATTTATGCATATAGTGAGCAGAAACTGACACATTCAAAACTGATATTAGAGGGTTAACTCAGAGCATCATAGAGCCACTGACCAAGCAGCCGTATTGGACAAGTTGAGGGTGAGAGCCTGTTGGTTGATTAGAGCGTTGAGGGTGAATCAAACCAGTAAAGTTGCGGCCAAAAAACAGAAACAATGAACTGAAAACAGCGCTGTAGCACTGAGGACAACAGGGGTTTGTAACTAACGAGTGACTCCTTTCACATACAGATAGTCATTTGGTCCATTGTTAATGGATAAATACTGACTACATTAGCTTTAAACACTCAATTAGCCACTATAATAACAACTTTTTTTATTTCTTGAATTAGGTCCCATCTGCTCTCAACTCTGAGCATTAATCCTCCTGACTTAGTTTTTTACTCCCCAACTTTCTTCAAAATTTATACATCTTTCCATTTATTCCCACGAACGCCTCCAGAGTCCGAGGGAAACTGCCAAGAAACTGCAAATGAGCAATTACTAACACGGGCAAACACAGAGGCAGATGTTTGAACTGAGAACAAAGACATATAGATTAACACAAACAGTGATGTCAGGCGGAGAAAGAAAGGCCAAGACAGTACACAAGAGACAATTACAGAGGATTGTGATATGTGCCCGTCAATGGGCTTTTATCGTTTTTTTTTTTTTTTTTACTTGTGGCGAGAGAGGGGGGCTACAGCTGGGGTGGCTTGGTCTCCATGGAAACTGACATTCCCTTGAAGGTGCTTGGCAGCCACCGCCAATTGTTGAGCTTGGGTAATGGTTTGAAATTCTCTGTAAAGTGCCTCAGAGGTTGAGATTAAATTCAACCTGCTCGAGGTAGACTCATGCAGTGACTAATCACACCATTTTGGAGAGTAGGAAAGACGGAGCTAAATGGCATTTAGACAGGGAAGTATATCGCCTGTTGCTCACATGTTGAATGTTTATTTTAGCTCTTTTTCTTCTTGGCTGCCAGACACTCTATAAAATATCACTTGTCATTCTTTTAGAAGGATTTCTTGCATCAATAGTCACAGAGGCAGAAATCCCTGAGGGGGACGGTGGGGTCCGGACCTCCCCTTCTGCGGAAAAACAGGGAATTGTCCTCCCCAATATATCATTTGAGGAAACTATACACTATACACTTTATAACTATACTTGTGCCAATTATATATGCAACAAGATGCATTTAGAACTAAAATATTGCATCCTCCCCCCCTCATCTGCCTCACAATGGTTTGGTCTGTGTCGGCATACACCGGCACACAGCAGCACTTGGCAGGACTGACTGTGGATCAGAGTAGAGGAAACTGAGCTTCAGTAACTACCTACTTTGCAAAAGTTCACTTAAAACAAGAGACATGTTGGGCACCTTTATTTACACCTACTTTTCAACAGAATAAAACATGTTACCAGTCGTAACCAGACAGCGTTTTGTTCTCTTCATTACGTCGTGGTTCAATCTTCTGTGTGAATGCAGCAGTCATCCAAACAGCCCAGCTGCTAAAAATCATTCAAACTCAAAGGATTTTGGACCAAATTTAGTGCAGTTTGGATTGTTACAATTTAAAGAAGTGTGTTTACGAAAGAGAATACATTCTCATACCTATTGTTTTTAATCTATTGTAAATGGTACCTGTATTTAAAATCAACGTACCTTAAACAGTTAAGTTCCAAGTGTATTTTCCTTCCATTTAAAGTCATTGCCATGGTTTGATTTTGTTTATAATCTTTTAAATAAATAAAGACGGGAGTAAAAAATGACATAATTACAGCAAACACCTAAAAAAAACATCAAGTCTCTAGCAGCCTCCAGAGTGATGTGAACGTTTTTCTTTTTACACTGACAGCAAAACAAATGAATCTGCTTCTTTGGGAAAATTAAGTCCAATTAGGCATATTAGCTTTAATTCAGTTAACAGGTGTTGCCTCTCTCCTACTACTGTAAATAACCAGCATGGTGGGGCTACTGTATTGATAAGGGACGCTGTTCTAAACATTATTCAATACATTTGACCATGCAGGTTCCATTTCTGTGTGTTACAACAGTAAATTTGACTGCAACGTTGTTGGTCCCCCCAAAAATTGCTCTTGAGAAATATTTCTGTTTATTGTCCCCCCCAACAATGAAGTGGAATTTCCACCCTTAGATAGTCACTGATCGCTCTTATTTTCCTGGTAGAGGAGAGCGGAGGCATTTCCAGCCATCATTTATTAAGCCATGCGCTGCTGTTCCAACCAGGTCATTTGAGACAGGGACATTTTCTATATGTCAGATACAGTATATCAGCTGTTGAAATAACAATACGTGCTGCACTTGTTTTTCTCTTCCATTTCTGCACACCCTCCCTATTTCCCATGAGCCTTTGCACCCGGTGGCAGACCTATCTGAATGAGACTGGTCAGGCACGGCTGCTTAACAACTGAAGAAATGATTGCTCCTCTCCGTCTCGAAAGTGCAGAACACTTTAGCCGTATGTAGTGTGAAGGCCCACTGCTGATGGGCCTGTGAACATCAGCAGCTGAAAAGGATCAGCCAGGCGAAGCATCAGCCTCACACCTCTGCCCGCACCGCCAGCTCATGCTGAAAATATGGACTATTATTACTGGATGCTTTTCTTTTGAACCACTGAATGCATCGTTGAGAATCTTCAGTTGACTCGAAATCAAATTTGTAAACATGTGTTTACCCAAACAAGCACAAGGTATTTTTCTAGTGAGTTTGGCCTGCTGCTGTTAAATTTGATATTGTCACATGTGAAGGGGGTGTAATAGGAGCAAGTGCATTACCATGTATGTTTCCAAGACTACAAGCACTCAGCTCTCTACAAAATCTTATTTCCATGGGTAACATGGAACAGCAATACTGAGGCATTACTTGTGTCTAATAGGTACCATAAGGACAAATACACTGGGGTGTTTATAGTGGTGCTAAAGGAGATTTGATCCTGTGATTCAGTACATTTTATGCACATATTTTGGATGAATACCCTGGACATGAACTTGCACATGAACAGCATAGGCTTTCAAGTGTGTTTGTGTGTGCGTAGGAAGCAGATTGTAAGGCTTATTTGTATGCCACAGCAGCTCCTGTTGTTTCCAGGGCTCCTGTAGCCTGGGTGGTCAGTCTCTGTTCAGCTTGAAAGAGTCAGAGGTTTTCAGCAACAGGACACAGCTTAACTGCCTTTGTCTCCTCTCATCACGGTGCTGTGAGTGGAACTATGGTGCACAACAATGAAGCAGAGTTTTGCATGAAGTAAGAGACTGGTTGTTTGAAGTTAAAAACTATACTGAGGAATTGGTTCGTTTCCTAGTCTTGCAAATAAGCAGGTGTGGCTAAAGTGAGTCTGAGTACTGAGAAAGTAGGTACTGTTATTTAGGAAAGCAAAGAGATAGAAATACACAGCTAAGTGTATGATTTCCCCGGGAGAAGCCATGTCAGGTTGTTTCATCCAGGCAAAATGCTTTTATCATTGATGATGGCATCAAAGCACTTTGAGTGAAGGTGGAGAATTTCAGACACTCACTGTAGCTTAGCAAAATGCTACTGATCAATCCACAGTCAGCGCAGGACAGTCCCACTGAGCAGATCCTGTTATCAGGCAGCAGATGTAGCGGGCATCTGTTAGCACATGTAAAACCAACGAGACAACAGGTCTAGATCCAGCAGACATGAGCTGGTTGGTTCCAGTGCATCGGCTTCAGACAGGAAACCAATAATTGAGGGTAGAGTGCTTCGGGGAACTGGGGAGAAAATGTTCTTTTGGGTATTTTACCACTGGCTGTGTTGGTGGGGCACAGTTTGGCACTGGGAGGCGTATAAAACATTCATTCAAATTCCCAGTGAATCCATAATTTATAATGTATCAAAACGAAGATGCAAACGCATCTACAAAGTATTTTCTGTTATGTCCTCTGTGGCCGGCGAGCATTACCAAACCTCTTAGCTCGGAGCTGAAATAATTAATCATACTTTGCACCGTAACAATGTATCTAATGTGCCCTTGCAGGAATCTCTGTAACATACTTTAGTCTTTAATACCAGTAGGAAGCATTGTCTGCTGCTACCAAGCTGGTGCATTCAGCCGCGAGCAGAAGTCAAAAATGTAGATTGCAGCCAACTGTAATGACGATAGCAGTAAAGATGATATTGGCGGCCTGTCAGACGCAAGTCAATGGAGGCGCATCCAGCTGCCATCTGATGTTATTTTTCCTGGCAGAGAGAGATATTTAGCTTGGGCGCATGCACTATTGAGAAGCAGCTGATGGTGACGGAAAGATGTCCAATGTTTTTGTACAAATGCTCACAAGAAGTGATGATGCAAAAATTTGGTGCCACTTTGCAATCCGAGTATGATTGAATGTATAGGTGAGTGTGTCTGCCTGTGTTACAGTACGTGTGTGCACATGTGATGTATTTAGCACATGTGAATGTTGACTTTTTTTAGGTGGATATGCACCCATGCACAATAATTACTTTATACTCAGTGCCAGGGAAGGATTTAATTAACTATCCCCTGACAGGGTAGATAATTAGTCAATAACACACACGCACACTCACACACACTGACTCTCTTTCAAACACACATAGAATGAGTCAATATGTTTGTCATGCTAACACTAGTGCTGAGACTAGAATGTACTGACAATTACTTGCTGTTGCAGGAACATAAAGTACAAGTCTTGAGTGACACGGCTCAATAGGCAATTATAGAGGAGTATTGAGGAAAGCTGCAGACAGGAACTGAGCATGGTGTGGGTTCTGTCTGCCTACAGAGAGAAGCTAATGTTGTTGATTTTTGTTTAAATTGCTTCACCAGTGCGGCAGCGCACTCTATGATCTGCTCAGCCTCGCTTATGCTCACTCAGAACACAACAGTAATTATGTTTTCTTCTTTTTTTTCTGTGCAGGTTCAAGGTTTGATCTACAAACAGGGAAAGGTAAAAAAAAAAAGTCTTTAATTTACTTCCAAATCTCTTCCTCTACTCTCTTTTTCTCTGCATACCGAGGGAGCCGGGATGATTGGCAGGCATTAGACTGTATCTGCAATTATGTGTGCTCAGGTTGTGTGTGGATGGATATAGAAGCATTACTTGGGAGATTTGTGGACCAGTTTGGCATTGTTTACACTGCATGCTCGCACACACAGATAACAGTTAGCACAGACTGTTATCCTAATCATGTTGAACATAAAATGTGGATTAGGGATGCCTTATGGTATCAGTCATAGTCACACACAAACACACATTGAAATACTCCAGCACACATGCACCTGCTGCAAAAAAGAATGCAACTAGTATGTGATAATGTCCCACATTAGGTGTCGACACAAATGCCATCTGAGAGATGGTAATGCTTCCTTAGGTACTTTTTTTGTCGATATACAATAAGTGTCTTAAAAGGTCCCATGCTGTGTGTGTGTGTTTTTGCACGGACTGTGTGTTTAGCTAATGACTCGACATGATGTCGCTCCCAACTGATTTTACTAAAAGAAAAACAAGAGAATAGAACATCAGCATTTTATCTGTCCTGAGATTTGACAAAGTATTAAATATGTTGTTTAGGATGACGATTATAGCCGTTTGGGGTTTTGCAATCTAGGCAGCATTTGCTTATGCCGATGGTGGACCTACAGCTCTTTTTGGTCTATTTCTGGCAGATGGGAGTCTGTAACGGTTTATGTGTGCGGCCTTCCCTCTGTAGATCCCAGAGTATTTTAGTCCAGAATAATCCCCACCATCTGCTGTCTCCTCTACTACGTTTTAGTGTTCAGTATCCCTCCCTCTATCTGTCACTCTAGTTTGTTTCCTATTGCATTTCATCTCCTTGTTTTCTTTGTATTTTTACAGTGATTCCTGGCAGCTGCATTTTTTTTTTTATTGCGATGCCTCTCTTCCTCTCCCATTCAGGGTCTCAATCTCCATCACCTTCCTTCTTCTTCCTTCAATCCCATTCTCACCACTCCTTTTTTCTCGGGTCTTTCTTCTCCTTGTCTCCTGTCCACTTTTCCATGAGCTCTTCTTCCTCTTCTTTATTTTTTGCTTTTTGTTTGTCCTTGCTTTAAATGTCTGGACTCCTTGAGTGTCTCCTCAGTGTTCTGTCTTTATCCCTCTCGCTGTCCACACATATACACGCCCACGCCAGCCACTCTCCACAGGCTGTCAAATCCTAATCTGGGCTTCATGAGCACAGACTATACCCTCTGGTTTCTAATTTGAAAGTCCTAAAAATCCACTTTACTAGAAATGTATGGAGATACATTTTTATGTGCATTTTCCAGCAAAACGTCTCCTCAGGAACTGGTTTCTGCAGCTATATGTAAATCCATCACTGAGTTTTTGTGTTAAATCCTTTCTAAATTCTTAGTATCTTCTAGCTCATTTTAAACAAATTGTTAACTGAATTGGGTTGCCCCATTCAAAGTTAAGGAATGTCTTGGCTAGTAATGTGTAAATCCATTGCTCGAAAACATCTGTAGCACAGCCAATCAAAAGCAATCAACTAAGCTAGGGAAGTGTCACTGTGTTACAGTGAGCCAGGGTGTTTAGAAAATCCAGATGATGTGATTTCCAATACCGTCAAAAATAAAGCTTCTCCATTCCCTAATAAATGATACGGAGATGCTGTATTGAGATGACGTAGTGCACAGCACATGCCACCAGAGGTCAGTCTCTGCTGGTGGAACAAACAGCTAAGCTAAGAAAGACAGTGACTGTGAGTGGTGGGGATAATGTTAAAGGAATGCTAAAAAAGAAAAATGTCTCTGCTCCTGTTTTGGAGTATTTCCACATAAAACTTGCATTTGACATATTCCAACTACAAAAGCAGTTTATTTGCCTGGATTTTATTCAACACATCATCTTCATTTAGCATGCTGATGTGCCACGGCAACAAGTGTCATCAGGTCCTCCAGCAAGAATGGTGCTTATTTCCTATCCGTTTGTTATTCTGTAGGCCTTAAGTTTTTAAACTTTGCAAGACTTGTCTAAGTAGGTTAATTGCATATTGTAAACACAGCACTGTCTAGACAATGACTACAGTTGCATACATGCTACAATTGTTTTTCAGGGCTTTTTGCCTTTAATGGACAGACAGGGTGAAATGGGGGAGAGGGAGAGAGTGGGGGGATGACATGCAGAAAGGGTCGCAAGCCAGAGTTGAACCTGCGACCGCTGCGGCGGTGATGAAGCGCCTTTGTATATGGGGTGCCGGCACTATCCACTACGCTACTGGTGTCCCGCTACAATGATTCTATCACAACATGTTGTCATCCTAACTTGTCAAATATCGGCACTTTGTCAGTGGACCTCTATGTCGAAATATGATACGCAAGGAACCCTCATGGATGGCGTATCAGTGTATGTTTGTTACATGCATTGCATTTTTTCCAAAAACAATTCTATTTTTACAGGAACTGTACAATTTCTTCTCGTTAAATGCACGCAGTCTTTTTCAAATTACAATAAAAATGCGGAAAATGCTTCATTTTTAGGTTTGTTTCCTTAAGTTTATCCAGCAGAGCACCATGATTAGGTTTAGAAAAAACAAACAAACAAAAAAAAACCCACCATGGTTTGGCTTAAAAATCTTTTTATAGTACGGTTGTTGCTGGCGGCGTTCCAACTGATGCTGCCCGGTGGGTTTCATACTGACACCAATGGTGCCTTTGTGTGTCCATGTCTGATGCCAACTTCCACTGACAAAGCGCCAGTATTTGGCAAGTTGGATTTTTGCCTGCTGCCTCTGAAACTGATGCGCGTGGTTAAAAGGATACCACTGTGAAAGGTGCCTCTGTGCATCTGTATCTGATGCCGATCGCTGATAAAGCGGCAGTATTTGCAGTATTTGTCTATCACCAGGAGCCCAGCTTAGATGTTTTTTTTTTTTAACACAAATACTATCATACACCATACACCCTGGTTAAATCTCACGAAGGTATGGACTCTCCAAGCCTACCTGAAAGTAGTGTAAACATTAAGTAACAAATCTATGTATGTAAGAACTCATTTGTGTGGTTTAACCTGTTTTTATTTAGTAATGTGTAAATCTTAAAATCTTATCTCATAACTTGGCTAATTTTGAATTCACTAACAGCTGGTGCAACTGGCTCCAGGAGAGCCAGAAACAGCTACCAACACATTTGTGCTGGCCATGCTGCTGACAAAATGTAGAACATCTTACACTGTTACAGGCTGCCAGCTCATTCACACAGCCTCACAATACCTTGGAAAGGATTTAGCAGCAGTTTATAACAGAGGATAACTATTAAACAGGGACCTGTTTATCAGAGACAATGTTCCTCAGCCAGGTTCATATTGCTGAAGTGTCATTGAGCACTTCACCACCATACCTGAGAAATCAAACACATATTGTACAGTTATTTTAAGATCTGAATCTGTTTGAGTTTAATATGGAAAATATAAGAGCTTGACAGATTGGCAGTAGTTTAGAGGTTGCACCAAAGGGCTTGTAATTGAAATCACAACTGTAAAAAAAAAAAAATCTTAAATATGGATGGCTCTCATCTTCCTCTGCAAGTACCACCAAGGTGCCCTGGGAAAGACACTTGACTCTCAGCTGCTCTGCTGCAGTTGTTCTCCAGCAAAATCTTACATGACTTCCCTGAATTGTGTACAGCTGTATCCCTCATTTCCTCTGCCTTTCTCTCCCACACTGATGCTCTAAGTGAGGCTAAGCTCTCTGTCAAATTAATACAACTGAGAACATGACAACACTTCACTTAGCACAGGGATACATGCATTTATGACATTGATGATCTCCATAAAGAGACATTGAGTGTCCCATAATGTGAAGGGCAGAGTACAAGGTTTATTCTCCTTGATATATTCCCATGTGCTATGTGTGTCCCTGAGTGGCTCGCAGTAACAGCGATGACAACATTAGCAAGCAAAACACAGACAGGTATGTCATCAGCACCTTGGTGACATGGTTGTCAGCCATGTACAGCACATCTCTGTGCCCACGCACAGCTGGATTAACAATGACTGAATGGATTAGTGAGTGAGTGTGTAGTGTGTGTTTGTGTAAAAGCGAGGGAGTCAGAGACAGAATGATAAAACACGGTGGTGACTCCTGTGTCAAGTGGGTATTTGATAAAGCCGGATACCTTAAACAGATACCGATAATACCCCGAGATCATCATATTTTGGCTTGACTGCTAATGACATCACAAAAACCATGCACTCCACATGTACATGTGAGTACACACACACACACACACACACACACACACACATACACCCACAGCACTGAGCAGATCATATCCTCGTCATCTGACCCAAATCCATTAGCACTGGGAGTCACAACCTCATCCACCCTTACTTCTCCCTCAATTTCCTCCTCTTCCGCTTCCTCCTCTCTCATTCTTCCCCCCGACATAAGGTCCAATGTGGGACATTTCCTCCGTGAGTTCATCTGCAATGACATGAACAGAGACAGTTGAACAGTGAGATTAGGGATGTTGGTGTTCACTGCCCTGTGGGCACTTATGTTGCAGCTTTTTAAGTGGCAGCCAAAGAGCCAGCCTCTCTTTATGCCACTCAGAATGACAAATGAATAAGTTCTCACCATTTTGCAGTCCTCTGTGAGCAGACAGGGACATAAGAGCAGATAAAGATAACTTTGGCCACAGCTAGAGCTGATATAGACATCATCTTGAATTAAACTGTCTGCATCTTGACGCATAAAGCTATAGTTGTCCTCTGAGGTAATTTCCTTGGTTTGATTTAGTGGTAATGATGACCGTCCTTGAAATATTCTATTTGTCTTGTAGTTGTTTAAAGGACACCAAACTCTCTGTGTGTGCATGTGTGTGTGTATGACAGTAGTATGATTGCCAGCTGAACCATATATACTAAAACTGCATGCGTCTCTGCTCCTGTAAATTGCTTTGGATTGCTCTTAATAGCTGCTTCTGCCA